GGAACAAACAAATGAAAGGACTTTTCTTTTAATGTGCTTTATGCAGAACCCCCCGCCCGGGGCGTGAGGGCGAGGAGCTGGGGAGGGGACAGCAAAGAGGAAGCAACAACTTGGCGACTGTGCGGCAGCCCCCCCGCCGCGAGCACGCGGGGCCCGGGCGCCGGCAACCCCGGAGCGCGGGCTCCCCGCCCCCCCGCTCCCCTCCCATGGAATCCCCAGGGCGGGAGCCCCGCGTGCTGCAGCCAGAGCAACTGCTCGACATTACCTCAACATGTCCCCGAGCGCAGCCACTGTCCCGCTCCCTCCTCCTCCCGGCACCGCGGGTCCCCTCCTGCTCGGGAGGGGGAAGCTCACAGCGGCAGGAGCAGGAGGGGCTGTGGCGGCATCTCCCCTGCTGCTGCTGCCGCTGCCGCCGCTTCTTTTCCTCCCCTTGCTGCCGCCTCCTCCGCGCAGCTCGGCGGGCCGCAGCCCCCTCCCCTCCGGCGGCGCGGGCCCCTGCCCCTGCCCCTGCCCCCGCGCGGCCGGGCGCGCTGCGGTGCGCGGACTTTTTCCCTCCTTCCCCCCAAGCCGCGACTCACTTTATTTTTTTCATCATTTCCGGATCATGAAAACATCCCGCTGGAGCTGGGAGCGGCTCCGGGGCGGTGGTTCTCCCTAGGGGCTGGGGCAGGGCGAGGAGGTGCTTAGGGACACCCCCCCTCCCCCCCTAAGCCCGGGACATCCTCATGCCCATGCAGCTGAGCGGTGCCAAACACCTCCCCAGACGCGAGGGGGTGGCAGGGTTAGATGTGCCATGACTGTCTCCAGGACCCCCTCCCCCTCCCGCAGCTGGGACTCCAACCACCCACACGCCCTGTGCAAACGGCTCCAGGAGCAGAAATTGGGGGAGAAATATATATATAGAAAAAAAAAAGAAGGCGGCTTTCATGCCTGAGGAGGGTTTGCAGCTGTAGCCTTTGGCAGTGATACAGTGGCACTTTTAAGAGGCCCAACCCCTGGCGCGGAAGTTGTTGGCTTGGGTTTGAAAAAACAGAAGTTCTTTTTCAGGTTCAACCAGTTGGACCTAGCCAGGAAAGGTGACTCTCTCTTTGGAAGTTAAAAACGAGCCTAGGCCCCCTCGGCAAGCCAGAAGCCCCAAACCTTCAAGCGACCTCAAAGGCATTGACATCTGAAAGCAAACTTGCTGTTTAGCAGAGAGGATGCTGATGTGCACACATGTCTTTGACGGTTTCTGAAACTTTGCAAGAACAACAAAACATAAACAAATGAAGATTAGCAGGGAAGAACCAGGCAAGAAACAAAAAATATATAGAAACACAGCCCTAGAAGCACTTCCTTCCTTCCCCAGCACCTTTTCAGAAATCAAACGTATACACGTGTTTCCTCCAGAAAAGAAAGTCTTATCACACAAAATTCTAATTGTCAGACTTAGGCCCTGATCCTGCAAATATGCGTGTGGTTATCTTTACCACTGGGAGTGTTCATTGCTTACCACTTCACTGGAGAAGTTCAGGCTCATAAAAGTATTTTTAAGAAATTGCTGTATATAAAAAAAATAGCAAGTTATTTTTTGTAAGAATAAAAAAAATATCTCAACAGTGACTTTTGTCATTTAAAGCCACAGTTTTCTTTAAAAGTCACTAGCAGGTCTTAGTCCAATATGCCTGGCACTCATCTGTCAAAGCATCAAAGCACAGTTTTTCAAGGATTGAAAAAAAAAAATCACTAAGAGCACAACAATCTTAGGTAAAACACAATTTTAAGTGTTTTGATGACTAGAAAAGGACACAATGCAGGTATTGCTGGCATAACACTTCTTTGTAATGCTTAAAACCCAAACACTGTGGGTCACAAACTGCTGGTGTTAGGAAACATCCTTATTACCCCAGCAAAGCACCATGCATTCTGGGGCTGAACCATATTCTAACTGACATCTACAGAGTTTTGCAACTGCCCGACAATAGAATTTCTATGGTGCATTAGTCACCATTAAAATAGTATTTGCATTTGACACACTACGGTTTCTCTCTCCTTACATTAGGAAATAACTGGAATGTCTCCTTGCAGACACTTTAATGACAACGACTGTTAATAATTAATAGTGCTAGTACATAAGAATCTGACAGTGAATTTACTTAAGTGAAACTGATCAAACTAAAAATGAAAAAAAATAAAAAGATCATTTACATTCAATTTTTTAAAATTATTTTATTTTAATAATATAAAGTGGATTAGAAACACAACAAAATTCCAATATCTCTTTAAAACATCACAATACAATATAGCTGAATTGAAAAAGGTATATATGCAAGAAGTTAAGTAACAAATGCGCAATTACTTTTGGTGGCATGATATTATTTATCATTTTTTTTCTATAAACGTGCATAAGTATTTATGGAACTATATGTATACATTTAACAAAACAATCTAGATAATATTTTAAATGTGTGGAAAATGTTTTAGCCTGTAGCATCCCAAAGCACTTCATAAACTGTTTTTAGTACTTCCTAAACATTTGGAAGGGAGGGTACAAGCAACTAGGGAAGAAAAGAACTAACAATAGATAGCACTTCATATATGAAAATCACAGTGCAGACGTTAAATAGTTATTTATTCTGACATTTCCATGAATTTGACTGTAAAACAGACCATCATGCTTTCCTGAAAATAAGACTGTAAGATCAAGTGACTAACTTAAGGCCCTTAATGAGTTAGTGACAGAACCAGGGTTAAACCTGAGGGCTTTTTGCATCTAAATTTGTACTTACTTCATAGTATATAGCATATTACAAAACAGTGGGAGGATCAAAATTTTAGCCAACACAAAATTTTAGCCAACAAAATTTTAGCCAACACAAACTCCTGTTTCTAAAAAAAGGTGTCAGTCTCCATGCAGAGCAAACAGATCTCATTTTTTAAATTTATCTTATCTGTACGAGGCACACAGCAAACTTCACAGTATTCAGATTATCTTCCTCAAAAGATGTTGGAATAAGTCCACTCTGCCAAGGTTCTAACATATGGCTGCAGGGAGCCTGCATTTTCTAGATCTGATGCATGGATAGATTAAAATAAATGAATGAAAGCAAGAAAATTCTCAGTTGAGACTGCTATATTGTGATTAATTCAGCCCTGAGATAGCTCTAGGAAACTTCCCTGATGAGCAAGATAAGTTAAAAAGAAAACCAAAAGGTGAGAAAAAAGTCAAAATCAGTTCAATGATGTGTTTAATAGAGTGTGTAGCAAGTAACATGTGAAGAAGAAAAATCCAATATCTTGAAGCCAGATGATCCAGTTGTCATTGGTGATGGGATGTGCTAAGACATTTCATAGACATTTGGGCTGGAAGGGACCCTGGAGGATCATCAAGTCCAGCCCCCTGCCCCAGGGGCTGGAAGTCAGCAGAGATCCCAGTAAGATAAGCATCCAAATGTGTCTTGAAGGCGTTCAAAGTGGGTGCTTGAACCGCCTCCAGCGGCAACCTATTCCAAACCTTGGGGGGCTCAGACAGTGAAGAAGTTCTTCCTTATGTCCAGCCTGAATCGGTCAAAGTGGAGTTTGTGACTGTTCGATCTTGTCATCCCTTGGGGGGTTCTGGTGAACAGACGTTCCCCCAGATCCTGATGAGCATCCCTGATAAACTTATAGGTGGCCACCAGATCACCCCTGAGCCTGACTAGTGACCAGGATCAAAGATAACAAGAAGTCTTTTTAAATACATAGGAAGTAACAAGAAGGCACCAGGTAACATGGGGCCCCTGCAGGACACACTTGGCAATCTGGTGGTTGCACCAGACCAAAAAGCTGACCTCTTTAACAAAATTATTTGCCTCCATTTTTCTGAGCAGGAACCAGGATTCTGGACAGATTCGGGAGAGGCACTTCCAGGCCTAGGGTCAGGGAGGACCTAGTTAGGGAACTTCTGGTGGGGCTGGTCATGTTTAAATCAGCAGGTCGCACCTTGTTCAAATTCACGGATGACACTAAGATGTAGGGATAGATGGGCACGCTAGAAAGGAGGGACAGGCTACAACTAGATCTGGACAGATTACAGGGATAGGCGAATGAGAATAGGATGGGATTCAACAGGGACAAGTGCAAGATACTGCAACTAGGGAGGAAGAACCAGCAGCATACCTATAGCCTGCAGAACTCCCTTCTCGTCAGCAGAGAGGCAGAAAGGGATCTTGGAGTCATTATTGATTCCAAGATGAACATGGGCTGCCAATGTGGGGACGCGGTCAGTAAGGCTAACTGCACCCTGTCATGCATCCACAGATGCATCACGAGTCGGTCCAAGGAGGTGATCCTCCCCCTCTATGCAACATTGGTCAGGCCGCAGTTGGAGTACTGCATCCAGTTCTGGTTGCCACACTTCAGGAGGGTTGTGGACAGCACTGAAAGGGTCCAAAGGAAGGCCACTCGCATGATCAGGGGGCACCAGGGTAGGCCCTACGAGGAGAGAAGGCTGAGAGGGGATCTGGTGGCTGTCTATAAACTTACCGGGGGGACCAGCGGGGAATGGAAGAGGCCCTGTTCCCCCGAGCACTACCTGAAGTAACTAGAAATAATTGCCACAAGTTGATTCAGGCTTGACATCAGGAGGCGCTACTTCACAGTCAAGGCAGCTAGGATCTGGAACCAACTTCCAAGGGAAGTGGTGCTTGCTCCTACCCTGGGGGTCTTCAAAAGGAGGCTAGATAATCACCTGGCTGGGGTCATTTGATCCCAGCATTCTTTCCTGCCCATGGCAGGGGGTCAGACGTGATGAACTGCTCAGGTCCCTTCTGACCCTACCAACTATGAAACTATGAAGAATAAGACAAGTCACTGCAATAAGGCAACATAAGAGGAATTTTTTAAACTATTGTAACCCCGGGCGGTACTCCAAGAGGTACCCCCTCTCCAATTGAAGGGATCAAAGCAGGTGCACAAGTGCTGTGGGATGTGTAGGGACTCTCCTCCCTCTATAGAGCAGAACTAGACCACCAGTGGGGACTTAACCATGTACCCTTTAATGAGAGAACAGTTATTGGGAACATAACAGGCATAAACCAGGGGGTATAGGGGACACTACAATGCCCAAAGGGGGCAGGATTCAAGAAAAGTTAGACACTTACAATCATTGACAAAAGACAGGGTTAACAAAATATAAAACACAAACAGAAGAACAAACAATATGGGTTGATGAAATATAAAAGGCACAAAATACAAAGTGTCAAATAACAAGGAAAACACAATGACCCCTTTCCACTACAACAAGGATTTCTCCCTGTTACTTCACTCACCCCAGCTGGGACTTCAACTCAGATTTCTCACATGGTAGACAGAAACTGACACACAAGCACCAGTGCTGGTGTTAGTCCAAGCTGCTAGGGGTCTTGACCTTCCAGGAGCCCCGGCCTCATGCTGAGCTGCCTGGCCTCTTATTGGAGGAGCTGGAAGCAGGGCTGGGAACCTCTCAGGT